ATTATTTTCAGAACATATTATTAATTGGATTATTGTATATAAAACTATTAAAATATTATAAAATCTAATTATTATTGTTGTCTAAAGTAAGTCTATTGGTTGTAGTATTTATGTTATTTAATAAATAAAACATATAAATAATATTAATTTAACTTATTGTATATCTGGTTAAGTATCTACAGGCGCTCGACCACTACCGGAGCCACTAAGAGAGTTGAGGCGAAAATGTTTTTTATTTTATTAATAAAAATTTATTATGAAAATTTATCTTGTTGACATTTTAATCTGATAATACTAAATCACTTATATTGGCAGTGATATTAGTAATGTGAAAATTATTCAGCTAACAAACTACATGAGCCAGCACTAAATCAATATAAAATATTATTATACCATATATAAATTATATTATTAAACAAATGAATTTAATGAAATGCTATATTATCAAGGGACTATTATTTATTCAATAATTTTACGTATTAATAAGTCCAGATAAACATTAAATAATATTATTATTTAAATAAGGTATCATTTTTTAAAATATGTATTTTATAGTCTATTTTCTAATTTAATAAAAACATTAAATGTCTATTATATATTATTTTTAATAAATTTCTGAAATATTAATTATTATTATAAGTATTCATAATATTATTGTGTTTAATTTTAAAAACATGTTTTTAACAAATTTTAATATATGAAATATATACGCAATAATAATGATAATACAATATTAATGGTTTATATGATACTATAGTGTACAGTAGAATATATATTGTACTTTTACTAATGTAAACTAGTAAATTTTCTGGAAAATATATTTCATTCTAAATTGTAAACTAATTATATATTTTCTGTATTAAAAATGAAAGTCAATCCCAAATCCAATGCTATTAAAGTGAACAAAGTTTTGCCGAAAAGTGTTTGCATTTCAAGCGCCGGCACTCATCTCTACAGTATTGGTCTCTCGTTTTATAAACCCATTAATGCCCGCAATAGACATATCACTTGTCATCCGATTCTTATATTTATTTTAACAATTTTATGTCTTTTTCGACAAATTATTTTAGTTATTATTCCTGAAAAAAATCAGTATTTCTATACAATATTAGGTGACCTTGCTTATTTTACTGGAACAAGAATCCCAACATCTATTTTAATTATTGGTAGCTTTGTTATCACATTATTATCACAATCACTGAATTACTATAACTATAGTCGGGGTATAAAACCTCAGGATTTGAGAGTATTTGCAATGCTTTCGGGTTTAATAACACCCATTAGTGTTGGGATTCACGACAAACATATTGTCACAAAATTAATTAAATTTAGCAAAAAGTCTATTACTTTAACTGAATTATCATTAAAAGTGTGTAATTGTTTGATTTGGTTTATCATGTTTACATTATTATCAATAAACCAAACCTTTATCCAAATAATATTCAGAGCACTTCCATACAGTATTGTCTGGACATTTTTAGCCGGATATGGGAATTACATAATAATTTGGCAATTAGTCTATTACACTATTATCACATATTATTTAAGTTTAAAAATTCAATCAATAAATCTAAATATGAAAGGTATCATTAAAATTAGAGAGATTTATTTAATGATAAATAAATATAATAAGATTTTTCTGGAAATCAATGAATATAACCGTAATTATTGGTCAATATTTTTGGGCATTTATTGGATATTAATTAGCTTGTTGATAAGCATTTTTATATTTGTTGTGTTATCTGTTCAAATTATAACTAGATATTTTATATTCATTATTTGTTTTGAATTCATCTTAAGCTTACTCTTAATAATACACTTTTCATCACAACTTAACAAACAATTCATTAAATCGTATAAAATATTGAATTCATTGTCCATTCAATACAACAAATGTCTTGATATTAAAATCAAAGTATTATTTAATTTCTATTAATTAATTATATTATTAATTATATTAAAATTTATATTTCAAACCAATAGTTGCTGTCATTAATGGAAAGGTTGGGCCAAAAAAGGGATGGATTTTATTGCTGGAGACTATTCCGGATCAATAGATGGCAAGGATTTAAGGTATTTTTCAAATTCAGTTTTTATTTGTATAATAATGTATCTAAAATGTATAACTTGTAAATTATAAGTAATTAATTATTTCAATATATTGCAGAACATTTGTCTCATTGGTTTACTATATTTAAAATTATTAAAGTATTTTCAATAATTTTAATTAATAATACTGTATGTATCTAATGTGAGATTTTATAATTTTTCATTTAATGAACACAAATAAATCATACAAATCAAATGTAATAATAAAACATGATGTACCTGTATTGTATTGTGTTTTTATGTATTGAAATTTTATAATATTTTTGTGAATATTTTTAAACTGATTATCTTAAATATGTTTATTGTCAATATTAAGTATTTAATTAATTGTTGTTTGTAATTATTTATTATTAGTGGTAAGTTATAAGTTATAACTTATAACAGAATGCAAATTTTAAATAACACAAAAATCTATGTCTTAATAAATGATAAGTATTAATAAATATGAACGATCGTTATAATAATAATAATTTATTTATTTATCATTATATACTACTATTAATTATAATATTAATATGCTATTTAAACAAATGAATTTAATGAAATGGTATATTATTATGAGACTATTATTTAATTAATAATTTTTAGTACTGTATTATTAAGTACAGATAATCATTAAATGAAATATCATTAAATAAGTTATACATTGTAATTTTTATTCAATATCTACTTTTACAGTCTATTTTCGGAATAATTATAACTAAACAATAATTTCAAATATATATTAATTATTATTATATGTATTCTGAATACAGTATTGTATATTCATATTTATATTGTGCTTAATAAAAACAATAATGATATTATAATATTTATAGTTAATATGTTACTTGCTTGTTAGAATCAGATACTAATATAAACTATTATATTGTCTAAAAAATATATACGAATTATTCTGAATTGTAATCTAATTAAATATAACCAAGTTATATATAATGAAGTGAAAAATTAAAATGAAAGTCAATCCCAAATCAAACGCTATTAAAGTGAATAAAGTTTTGCCGAAAAGTGTTTGCATTTCAAGCGCCGGCACTCATCTCTACAGTATTGAAAGTTATATATAATGAAGTGAAAAATTAAAATGAAAGTCAATCCCAAATCAAACGCTATTAAAGTGAATAAAGTTTTGCCGAAAAGTGTTTGCATTTCAAGCGCCGGCACTCATCTCTACAGTATTGGTCTCGAGTTATATAAACCCATTAATGCCCGCAATAGACATATCACTTGTCATCCGATTTTTATAACAATTTTAATGATTTTCTGTGTTTTCCGACTTATTATTTTAGTTATTATTCCTGAACAAAATCAGTATTTCTATACAATATTTGGTGACCTTGCTTATTTTACTGGAGCAAGAATCCCAACGTCTATTTTTATTATTGTTTGTATTGTTATCACATTATTATCACAATCACTGAATTATTATAACTATAGTCGGGGTATAAAACCTCGGGATTTGAGAGCATTTGCAATGCTTTCGGGTTTAATAACACCCATTAGTGTTGGGATTCACGACAAACATATTGTCACGAAATTAATTAAATTTAGCAAAAAGTCTATTAAATTAACTGAATTATTATCAAAGGTATTTTGGTATTTGAATTGGTTTATCACTTTTACATTATTATCAAGAAATCAAACTATTTTTCAAATAATATTCATAACATTTCCTCACAGTTTTATCTGGACCCTTTTAGGCGTACATATGAATAACATAATAATTTGGCAATTAGTCTATTACACTATTATCACATATTATTTAACTTTAAAAATTCAATCAATAAATGTCAAAATGAAAAGTTTAATTAAAATTACAGAGTTTTATCAAAGCATAAGAAAATATAATAAAATTTTTCTCGAGGTCAATGAATACAACCGTAACTATTGGTCAATATTTTTGGGCATTTATTGGATATTAATTAGCTTGTTGATAAGCATTATGATATTTATAGTAATATCTGTTCAAATTATTATTAGATATTTTTTATTCATTATGTGCATTGAGCTTTTCTTAAGCCTATTGTTTATAATACACTTTTCATCACTACTTAACAAACAATTCATTAAATCGTATAAAATATTGAATTCATTGTCCATTCAATACAACAAATGTCTTGATATTAAAATCAAAGTATTATTTAATTTCTATTAATTAATTATATTATTAATTATATTTAAATTTATATTTCAAACCAATAGCTGCTGTTATTAATGGAAAGGTTGGGCCAACAATGGGATGGATTTTATTGCTGGAGACTATTCCGGATCAATAGATGGCAAGGATTTAAGGTACAGTACGTGTAAATATTACGATACACTTTATTTAATACTGATTTTATTATTATATTTCTATTTTTAGAATATATTATTAATTGGATTATTATATATAAAACTATTAAAATATTATAAAATATAAATTATTTTTCCTATCATTAAATTTAAATATTACAACACATTAGACTCATAACTAGTTAGTAATGGTACTGATATTTAAAATTATTAAATTATTTGCAAAAGATTTTAATAAATAATAGGTATCTAATGAGAAATTTTATTATTTTTTTATCAAATGAACACAAATAAATCATACAAATAAAATGTAATGATAAAACATGTATTGTATTAAACATTTTATATAATAATTTAAAATAAATATATTTTTTAAAATGAAAATCAATAGTTTGCAAACATTTTTCGTATTATATAATATACACAAACAGTTTATTTTTAAATTATAAATCAGTGTTAACTGTCTATACAACTGTCCACACGATTATTCAACCATCGATTAAATGTTTAATTCAATGAAATGTTTTGAAAAAATAATTTACAATACAATCGCAAAATAATTGAGAAAATCATTCAAATGAAAACCACTTCATAATAATAATCGCAGAAATATTTTATACAATGAGATAATGATATATAAAAAAACTTTTGTATGAACTCTAATGGCACTGGTATTTGGGTTTAGTGGAGGCCCACACCTGCTCGTAGGCCAGTGTCTGTCCCTTGTATTTGGTGACCAACACTTGAAAAACGTATGTCTGTCCCGACGACAGCCTCTTAACCGACTGAATGATCTTATTATTAAACCTGCGTTTCGACGACTTGTGATATCTCTTACACAACACCTTTCGCAGACTACCGGTGCCCTCGACATCGATATCATTCTCAGCGCTACCATCGGTTTCCGTCAAGCGATGATCGGCGCAGACATTATCCATGGGTGCGATACTACCGGCGCTGTGCTGAGTATGTGCCGGACGTACGTACACACAGTACTGGACCTTATCGTCGGGGCTGGCATTCCAGGCCAGTGTCACGGAGTGGCAGTCCGTTAATGTATGCATCACTTTGAGTCGGGTATCTTCGGGTAGGAGTGGGAACGGGAAGCGATTGTGTCGATTGCTTATCATAAACACCGCCGACCTATCGGTGCCTAAACTCGAGCTCAACTCAAATGATATAAAACTTTGGTTTTGATACACATTTCGGTCGTTGAATGTAATCTCCATTGTCTTCAACGAGAAGATACTTCTCGTAAACAGCGTTTGGTTCAAGTGTTGACCTCGAGAGGTATGGACAGGGAGTGTGGTGTTGGGGTCGGGTAGGGTAACGGCGCTGGCAGTCATGCGAACGGTGCCCACACCGGAACAGGTCTGCAAAAATAGCCACAACTTTGCCGGCGCTGTCCACCCGTCCGTCAATACCTTGTAATTCAAACGTTGCGTAAAATTATTGCTTTGATTTAAATGGACAGCGAGTGGTAGGCTGTCCACCACATCCAGGGGCTCCGTATTGATGAGCGTCACGTTAACCGTGCGATACATAGACGTCGAGTTTGTGGCCGTATTTCTGGCGAAGACGTCCACAAAGTACTGAGTGTTGCGGCGATTGTCTAACCCATGGATCAGATGAGTCCGGTTTTTGGCCACACACTCGACCCGTACTTTATGGTCGGCCATGGATTTCAGTCGCGACTGGCGGAGCATATTCTTGACGGTCCGGCCCCACCAGTAGGTGAATGATGTCGAGGCATCCGATGGCAGTAAATCCAATTCATAGGACTCTTCGGCGTCTTTGAGGTATGAGTCCATCAGACAGTTGTCGGCAAACTTGCGGTCAGTGCTGATGGCGACGCAGTAGTCGACCGGTGCGATGGTCTCGGAAGGGCTGGCCGGCCATGAGATGGTGACGGAGTGGGCGCCGATGCTGTCCACGTGTATGTCCGCCGAGTTGGGTAGTAGAGGGTAGGGGTAGTGCTCCGAGACGTATATTTTGAGGCTCACATCCCGTCCCATGGAGTTGAAGTCCAATATGTATAAGCCTTTTGGGATAGAAAATGGAGTTTAGTTTAAGTTTTTTTTGTGTGAATTAATGATTAGTTTATGAGAATTATTGTGTGAAAACAAGTGACACTTATTTAATTATTCAATATAATTGTATAAATTCTCTATTATTATTCATTATAGTTGTATAAAAACTATAATATAATAATTTAGGAAAATAAAGAAGTCCTATATTTTGTATATTTATAAACACATTGGTACATTTATAAAAATAAACAACTTACTATGATACTATAAGTATATTTTACAAATAAATGAAAAAATTGTCAAGTATACTTTTACGCTGGTATTTTTCAAAAATATTACTCAATTATTTTACTGATAAATTAAAAATTGAATTTAAATTATAATTAGAAATAATATTAAAATATACTAAAATATAAAACAAACTTTCGGTTAAACTAAGAAAAACTTTTTTCATTATAATTATAACAATTTAGTTAAATAGGGATTTATATTGGTATTAATGATAGTTGCATGTATAAAGTAGAATCCAAACAAATGAATATAATGTGAAATTTTATTATTATGGTTTAATTTCATCTAATTGCTACTACAGTATTTCCAAATATGAATGCAATGATTTTTCTAATTTACAGATATATGCATATTAATGTTTAATATAACATAGTTCTCTATTTTAAAACTTTTAAACAACAGTGTTTGCTTAATATTATTTTACTATGGTATTTTTAGTTTGTTATCACATCACAGCATTTAATTAGCTTTATATTTGTACAAAACAATTTATACTTGATTATATTTTTATCAAAATGAAAGTAGATCCCAAATCAAATGCTATTAAAATGAATAAAGTTTTGCCGAAAAGTGTTTGCATTTCAAGCGCCGGCACTCATCTCTACAGTATTGGTCTCGAGTTATATAAACCCATTAATGCCCGCAATAGACATATCACTAATAAACCTATTATTGTGTTTATTTTCTTAATTTCTGTGACTTTAAGACAAATTATTTTAATGATAATCCCAAAACAAAACCAATATTTCTATACAATTGTTGGGGATGTGACTTATTTTACAGGAATAAGAATACCATCATGTATAATTATTATAAACGGTTGCACCTTGACAATATTATCACAACTTTTAAATCTCTATAACTATTTTCATGGTATAAAACCTCTGGATTTGAGTGTATTTGCAATGCTTTCGGGTTTAATAACACCCATTAGTATTGGGATTCACGACAAACATATCGTCCGGAAATTAATTAAATTTAGCCAAAAATGTATTAAATGTACAGAAATATTATCAGACCTACTATATTATATTATTGGATTAATTATATTTGCAATATTAGCTATAAACCTAAACATGTATCAAATTATATTCATAATATTTCCACACAGTATCATCTGGACACTTGTTGCAAAATATTTTAGTAAAATATTCATTTGGCAATTAGTTTATTATATAATTATAACATTTTATTTAAATTTGAAATTAAAATTTATTAATAATAATATAAAGTGCATATTTAGAAATAATAATAATAAAATTAACTATTTATTAAAAATAATGCATAATATGAATGATATTACTCTAGAGATCAATGAATATAACTGTAACTATTGGTCAAAATATTTGGGTATTTATTGGATACTAATTAGTGTATTGATTAGTGCTTTATTTTTCGAGTCGGTTTTTATTAAATTAATACCGTTTATTGGTTTTATGTTTTTAATAATTGGTATTGTATTGTTGCTAAGCTTACTATTAATTATTCACTTTTCATCACAACTTAACAAACAATTCATTAAATCGTATAAAATTTTGAATTCATTGTCCATTCAATACAACACATCACTGCACATGAAAATCAAAGTAAATATTAAAATAATTACTATTTTTAAAAATTATATTTTAATGAAATCTTTTTGTATTAATCGTATAGTTGTTGTCATTAATGGAAAGGTTGGGCCAAAAAAGGGATGGATTTTATTGCTGGAGATTATTCCGTATCAATACATGGCAAGGATTCAAAGTAAGCATGGTTAAAATTTATAGTTATAATTATTAATATCAAATATGTATATATTTTCAGAACATATTCTTAATTGGATTATTATATCTAAAGCTATTGAAATATTTTACCGATTAATTTACTTTCATTTTTGATTATCATTTAATTCATCCAACTATTGGACAATTACTTCATTTTAAACTAATATTTAAATTTTTATAACTTTACTTAATATGCATATCATACATAATTTGTCTCACAAAGTTAAGTAATACAATATTAAACAGTATAATTTATACTCATACAATAGCGAGATATTATTGTATAGTTTTATTAAAGATATTTACTATAAAAGTACTAATAATTAACAGAATTCATGTCAAATTGTTCAACAAATGATAGCAATTAAAAATGTACTAAAAAACTAATGTTTTATTATTTGTATTACACTCAGATATATAAATTGCATATTTTTATTACTTGATTGACATTTATATTGAAGTGAATGGTAGATAAAAATTAGAAATAATTTTTTCATCACTTAATAATTGAAGGATTTATTGTTTTTCACAATGAATTTGACAATTTATTTAAGGTCCTATTCTCTATATAATTTTTTATTAATTAAAATTTATGACTAAATATATTTTTAGTGAGAATTACTTTTTTTGTTTAACAAACTATTTCCGCATACAATCAATCATAGACTTTGTGTATAAATAACTTTTTTAAAACTTTATTTTTTACACCACAATGTTGTCCTCACATTATCACTACATGTGATCTATTGATTCATTTTAATTCATTAATCATTTCGTGGTTTTGTTGGCAAATATAACTCAAACCTCATGAATATATCACGAAATTAATTGTGTGACAGAAATGCATAGGAATTTCACGCAAGAATTCACACTTTATTTGGCACTAAAAATACGGTAATATTTGTCGAGATAGGTATGTATTGGTGGCACAAACCTGGGGCCGTGGATACGTCGGCGTACGTGTGCCTCCCGTTCCCCGTATAGTTGGTTAAAAGCGAGGGTTTGGCGTTATTTAAGACATTTTTGGCCATAAATTTATTGTGTCTTCTCTTATATCGGCGCCGGAGTCGGGGTTTCCGTTCTGTCATAATATGAGAGAAAAACATAAAAATATTTATTATATTAACACAAAAGACATAACAAATGAGTGATTGCTTCGAGAGAGAGAGAGAGAGAGAGAGAGGTGACATAAGAAAGAGATATATAAACAATTGAGTTGTATTTTATGATGCCTTTCCCCTTAATCAAGTGGACAGACCTTTATTTTTGGGTCCTTTTTGTGGCAAATATGATAGTTTCCAAGCGATGGTCGACTCGCATGGGGTCACCGTTAACGCCATCTCCGGCTTAGAGCTATGGATCTGATAATACAATCTGAATGTTGGCGTAAAGACAATGAGATTAATATTAGACATGTTTATAGTTTTTGTACGAAAACATGCAAACAAATTGAAAGTATACAATGGGAAGTCATTTATCATTTTTTGTAGTCATGTGAGTTAAATGTATTGAAAAAGTTATGAAAACTTATGTTTGTGAATATTTTGAAACTTAAATATTAAGTATTTAATTAATTTTCGGTTGTATGTGTTTAAAATAAATATAAGCGATAAGTATATTAACAGACTATAAATCTGAAATAACACAAAAACTTATGCCTTAATAAATGATAAGTATTAAGAAAATTTGAACTGGAACAAAATCTACTTAAAAATTTGGATAAAGTTGTATATTTTGGTTGGAAAAAAGTTCATTCAGAGAATATACACAAATTATTTTTAATTGTTTGTCACTTATAAGCCTAATTGGCATCACATTTCACACTTAACATATCATAATCCTAAATTGTGGTCCAAATTTGCATTTTAATAAACACTGCCATTAGTCTCATATTCTGGTAATAAATGCTTAATTAAAAAACTTTTTCTGACAGCAAATTATAATCACTTTTGAAATGTGTGTTTAAATTGAATGCAAAAAAAAGACAATGAGATTAATATTAGACATGTTTATAGTTTTTGTACGAAAACATGCAAACAAATTGAAAGTATACAATGGGAAGTCATTTATCATTTTTTGTAGTCATGTGAGTTAAATGTATTGAAAAGGTTATGAAAACTTATGTTTGTGAATATTTTGAAACTTAAATATTAAGTATTTAATTAATTATCGGTTGTATGTGTTTAAAGTAAATATAAGTGATAAGTATATTAACAGACTATAAATCTGAAATAACACAAAAACTTATGCCTTAATAAATGATAAGTATTAAGAAAATTTGAACTGGAACAAAATCTACTCAAAAATTTGGATAAAGTTGTATATTTTGGTCGAAAAAAAGTTCATTCAGAGAATATACACAAATTATTTTTAATTGTTTGTCACTTATAAGCCTAATTGGCATCACATTTCACACTTAACATATCATAATCCTAAATTGTGGCCCAAATTTGCATTTTAATAAACACTGCCATTAGTCTCATATTCTGGTAATAAATGCTTAATTAAAAAACTTTTTCTGACAGCAAATTATAATCACTTTTGAAATGTGTGTTTAAATTGAATGCAAAAACCAAATTTGCATTTTAATAAACACTGCCATTAGTCTCATATTCTGGTAATAAATGCTTAATTAAAAAACTTTTTCTGACAGCAAATTATAATCACTTTTGAAATGTGTGTTTAAATTGAATGCAAAAAACTAATAATAATAACTTTTCGTGTAATTAATTATAACTGGATTTCTCGTTAAAACACATGACAGTTAGGCATCAATTTTATGCACAATATTTCACTCTTAATATAATCACTCCATACGAGCCGTGAATACCTAATACTTATATGTTTAAACAACTGTTCATTTGATAACATTTGGCTAAAAGTTGTCAAAAAATTAGTTTTTGGCCGTAAATTGAATGAACAGTTTAATTATAGCCATAATTATGGGTAGATTGTGAATTTTGTAAAATATTATTTTTCATATTGTTTTTGACATTTATTGACATTGAAATACCGTTTATCTTATATTTAGTAATTTATAAAGTTTGTTAACTTTTGCATTAATTGTTTTGCAATTTAATATTTTAATCCATTAGATCTATAAATATTAAATATTAAATTATAGTGTAATACATTAACTAATGATATCCCAATGAAATAGCTATGAAATATCGGATTAAAAGCCTACTAATCCCTCACATGTACTTTAAATTAGATTTTTTGGTCTCAAAAGCTTATTATAATTTATAATAAAAATTAAATTAAGTTATAAAACCATAATAGACTGGAAACTGAAACAATGTATTCAATGTTAAGGATTAAAGTGACGGAGATATTAAACACAATTTTATTTATAGAGTTTATACGTGTTTTGTAAATGTTATAAACATTTACTTAAATGAGTAAAATAAGTACAAGTGCTGGCAATACATCACTTTTGAATATCCTAAATGTCTTAATATAGTGATCGCACACACAATACCATATAGTATATGAAGTTTGCGTTTACTGTTAATTTATGCTTATGTACTTATGTTTTAAACATTTTACGTCAATTATATTATAAGCATTTGTGTTGTATTGAAAATGATTGCGAATAACTTTAAGCATGCACACTTAAATCCTTTTATAGATTAGATAATAATAAGTCTGTTTAATTAAGTGCCTATAATCATAATATTGAATATTAAATAAAGTAATAGTTTGCAAAATAGCACTTCTCTATGAAGTATAACACAAATCCTCTTTTGAATCACAATTTTCTTTTGGCACTAAAACTCAGTTTTCTATACAAAAGTGTTTCTAAGAAAAGAGTTTTCACTTCAAAACAAATTGTGTTTATTTGTAGTGCGAAAACAAAGTGTACTTTTGATTTTAATTATAAATTTTGGGCTAATTTTAGCTGGAGAAATTAATTGAAATAGAGTTTTGCTATTTATATATAAATTTCAGAGAATTATGAAAATTGCATTAATTGATGGCATAGTTAGGAAACCATGAGTTTGTAAATTATATGTAAAAATAGGTGAAATATCAACGCTTTTAGTAAACAAAAAATTAACTTAATATATCAAATTTAGCATAATAACAAAATTAAGCAATTAATTTTATTTATTTACAAGATCTAATTAAAAATATTTTTTAAACTTTTTATATATATTTTTTATGTGCGCATAATATTTTTATTAATTACTTAATACTGTATTACTTTAATTTTATATAATAGGAAATTAATTAATACATATCTTGGTATACTTAGTAATCCTAAAAATAGCCCGGATATTTGTAGGATTTCCTACATAAATGCCAGCTAAATAATCAGTATAAATATACTAATACTTACAATACAGTATATGTTATTTAATAATACTATATTTAATTATTATAAAATATAATTGTTTAAATTAAATGAATGTTATTATATTGGAAATAGTAACAAAACAGGACCGGATATTAATTAATTAATTTTGAACAAGTGCTTTAAAAATAAATAGCACTCAACCGATTTATTTAGGTGCTTGCGTACTATATTAGGTAACTGTGCTGGACACAATGAATGCCCAATAAACCCACACACAATTTATAAGTGAATAGCTATACTAAATTAAACACAAGTGCTTTCAATAATACCCATTCAATTCGTGTGACAATTATAAGAATATTCTGTACTTTTTTATATAAACAATGAGTCGTTTGGAGTGAATCACTAAAATGAGTACATTTTTTTCGGTGGGGAAAAGCTCTTAAAGTGCACTTTTAGATGCCTGTGCCATACATTTCCCTACGAATACATGATGTACCAGTGCTGGTGATGGTTTGTGTGTGAGTGCACTGGTAGACAGCGATGAGATTGATATTT